TTTCAAATCTAGCCAATGCTCCAAGGATAACTCTGGTTTATCCCTTGACATCCCCCTTCTATGAGGATGAGCACATAAAGGGAACAGGCAGTCCAGTTTTCAAATCATGATCTTAGTTCCTCCTCTTTGATATACCCAGGGTAGGAGGAAAACTCTTTCAGCATGTAAGTGGCTACTGAACTTCCATGTGTACAATCGTCTTACCAGTGCAGAAATCCAGGTGGAGAAGATACAACAAGGTCAGTAAACTATAGAACACTAATGTCCTTATTCTTGACTGAATGTACTTCAGGTCCATGCCTCATCACACTGGAAGAATAATGAGTGATCATTTTATTTTCCCCCAGGCTATTTTCAGAAACTATTTGGAGAGAGCAGGGTCAGACCCCAGCTCCACCTGTCAGCAAGTTCACAAACTTTGACGGAGATTTTTCAAAGGCCAGCTTCCTCATAGTGGTCAAGGACATTCAATTTCTAACTTGAATAATCAGTGGTACTCCATGACTGTTGACACTGAATTCTAGCAGCCTCCCAAGACATACATTTCTCTAGAGAGTTGGGGTGCTGGCTAGAGAGAATTTTAGAGACATTATCTGTATACATTCTTGGACGTCACGGGATCAGGGGCTTAAAGGAAGATTTTCTGGGTCAGTGGCTAGTATACTTAAGGAAAAACTGAGAACTCCACCAGGAAAAGGTATCCAGAGAACAAGATATTCCAGAAAGAAAGATTCTATGAGAGAGGTAAGAACTGGCCCCGGGGAAGATACAGTGAAATCTCTGGTCTCTGGAAGGAATTCTGGTTGTAATAATAGGAAAACAAAATTGAAGAAATGATTCATGTCAAGAAGTGCTTACCTTGGGGGATTCTTAAAGGAGTTCTGTGTGGAGGCGGGGGGATTACCAATTATGTTTTAACCAATAATGAAAAACTTCATGGGACCCCCCAAAACAGGCATTGATGATTCAGAGAAGTATTCAGTGCACTAGCACTAACTGTCTCCTGCCAGCTGTTGTGGGGAGACCACGGCACAGGAATGGAAGCAGTCGACAATATTCCCCGCCACACACACACACACCAAAGAATGGGCACCATGGGAACTCAGAAGTAACAGTCCTGACCAGGAGTCCATTCAAGTCTTATGGGGCTGGGAGACCTGTGGGTAGGGCCTGGTGTGGGAAACCCCCAGCACAACCAAACCCACAAAGGTCATTTCTCTCCCTGACTCCCAAGCCCTCTACCCGACCCTAACTGTTGGCCAGCTGCCCAGTCCAAGTCTCCCAGGAGGACATCATGCATGACTTCCTTCACCCTCAAACTGGAATTTAAACTGCCAAAATAACTACATACTTAATACAATTCATTTAAGCATCAAAGAAGTTGATTTACTGGGGGGGTTGGGGGTGGCAGGGTCTCCTCCCTCACCCTCTGCAACTCCCTTGAACCTTTCCTAGTTGTGTATACACAATGAGGTTACAACTAGCAGGGCAAAGGTTTTTTTAATTTGATTTGGAAGAAGTGTGTGTTATATCCATTGTTATTTACTGTACTAGAAATATAAATTCTGGTAAAGAGATGGCTGCACAGTTCAGTTGGAAAGTTCTCTTTCTTTCAAGTCAAATTTAAAATCTAAAAACACTCAAATATTTTATTACAAGTCTATCTCACTTTATATAAATAGCACACATTCTGAGAACTGGATTTGCAACACACACAAAAAAGATGATTTTGTGTATTTCCAAAGGGGTCACCTTTGGGGTTTCTTTCAGTGGGTGAATTCCCTGCTATGCTCATCAGGAAGCTGAAAAAGTCACCTCAACTTTTCAAAAGTATAAATCAAAGTCCACTTGCATTTTTACTAAAGGTGTCTCCAAAGCCTTTCAATCACCACCCTATCATTCTCCACAGCTATCTTCTTAAAGGAAAATCCTCCTTCATCCATCAACATTGTTGACCATTCAATAGTAAAATTCTTATCAGTAAGTTTTAAGCACACTGGGCTGAGAGCCCAAGGGATTCCTGAAGCCCAAGAGGCCTAACATCCTTTTTACAAGGTAGAGATTTCTAAAACAAAAGCAAGATAAAGTCCACAGTTGATTTAAACTCTATGATCCAGATGCAAACAGTACTGTGTCCCAACTACAGGAGATATGAAACCAGGGTTGCTGGTACATGGAATCAAGAACTGCTTCGTGTACAAGTACAAGGTGGCCTGCTGTAACCATCTTCCAGCTTCCTAGCAAAACAGCCAGGAAGTAGGAGCCAAGCAGGGAGACAGAGGGGGTCACAAACTGGCCTTCAATAAAGAGGGCTGAGCACTAGGGAAGGATTCTTTCCCACCCATGACAGTAATGACATGAGAGTTAGTGGCTCCAAGCACTTAGAATGGGCAAAGCTGCTCCAAGTCCTTTCACCAGCATCTACTCATAGTTCCTGTACCAGATCCATGACAATAATTATGAAATGTCTTGGATACTCTTAAAAACTGAGAACCTCAAAGATGGTTCTGTGTGTGTAGGTTATATCCATTGTTATTTACTATATTAGAAATTAAGATAGAAAAAATTAGGTATTAATTCATTTAAAAATAATAATAGGGGCTGGGGTTGTGGCTCAGCGTCAGAGAGCTCATCTAGCATGTGTGAGGCCCTGGGTTCGATCCTCAGCACCACATAAAAATAAATAAAATAAAGGTATTGTGTCCAAGTACACCTAAAAAATATTTTTAAAATAATAATAATAATAATAATAATAAACATATTACATGTTAAATAAATAACATTTTTATAGCCAATAAAAATATTTTCCAGGAGCTGGGGTTGTGGCGCAGTGGCAGAGCACTTGCTGAGCACGTGTGAGGCACTGGGTTCAATTCTCAGCACTAAAAATAAGTAAAATAAAGGTCCATTGACAACTGAAAAATATTTTTTAAAAAATTTATTAAAAAATTCCAAAGTAAAAAAATAAAAATAAAAAAAAGAAACTTGTGAAAAGAATGACAGTTTTGTTTCATTTCTGTAAGGCTCCCTAATGCCTGCCCTAAGAAAGACAATAGGACTCTCCTATCTGCCTCTGTATTTAATTTTTTGTACTTTTTCAGGTCACTAGGCTCGAAACTTCACTGCAGTCTTGGAAGAATGAAAATAAAAAGTCAAATTAACATCTTAATATTATTATAAAATGGCTTTGAGTTTGCAGACCTCCAGAAAAAGTCTTGGGCACTTCTAGGGGTTCCCAGGCCACATTTTAGTACCCCTATCTTATCAGTTAGAAGCAACTGTTATCCCCATTGCACAAAGGAACAAACACAGAGAGAGAGAGAGATCAAAGAATTGTGTAAGGTCACACTGCAAGAACAGCTCAGAGCAGGTAACTGCAGAGCCTCATTTGGTCACTACCAGGATGCAATGAGACCCTATATGTAAGGGGCTGGACATTCCGCTTGGTGCTCAATAACAGTGTTTTCCATTGGGAAGGCCTGGTAGAAAAGATGGAGAAACGTCCCACATTTTTGATCAACTCATCATATGACACCAGATAGAAAAAGTAAAACTCACACCAGGTGTTGTCTAGAATTTGGGGTCCTTTCCTCACAGACCTGTTCCAACCTACAGGATGGAAACCATATTTAACTACTCAGAAACTCAGGGCCTGATTCCACCCTCCATTAGACAAATGAGCTGGGCTCACAGTCACCTTGTTCCTTGGAAACTTGAGCAAGCCAAGACAGCTGTTTCATTATTTACAGTCTCCTTTTTATATCATGTTGTACTTACAAGGAACCCTCAACATGCAAAACTGGTGCCTTCAGTGTGTGCTACCAAGCCTCTCCTAGGAACAAACATCTGATCTTTCCGTGGATGCTCAGCACTCCATGGCTCTCCCTATCAATCAACTTGCTTAACACCATGGCCATCTACTCCTACCTATAATGGGCCAGTTGAGTCCACAGCGGGCCTGCAGGTGAATTCTCTTCCACAGATTTGGGAAGTGAGTTCACTTGGGGAAGTGGGACTTCTCAGTTCAGACCTCTGCACTCTCAACATGCTGTCCCTAACAGAAGGCAGAAGCAAGAGAAGCTCTTGTTATTTCTCCATAAAGTGCAGGACACCGTAACCCTCACAGCACTGTACCACGTTTCCCAGCTTCCACGTTGCCTCTCCCCAACACACACACACACACACACACACACACACGTCCATTCTTCACCAATGGCCCAAAAGATACAAGCATAAAGTGAATAAGATCACTTTTCTTGCTAAAATGCTCCCAAAGTTTCCCTACTCAGTTGGAACAAAAGCCAAAACTTAACTTTGGTTTATAGAGACCCGCCTTTCTTTCTGAAGCCCAAGAGGCCTAACATCCTTTTTACAAGGTAGAGATTTCTAAAACAAAAGCAAGATAAAGTCCACAGTTGATTTAAACTCTGGCCCTGCGCACTTCTGCAACAAGCGAGGATTGAGGTCGCGAATCTTTCTACCTGCAGCTCCCCTCCAGGACCTCAGAGGCCCAAATGTCACCACCTCCTCGAAGAGGACTTTGCCGAATCAAAAGTTGCGTCTCCACCCGGTAGTGCTCGCGACTTCTGGGCACTCCTTAGTCTCGGAAGTTATCTTTATTTTGCTGGTTTATTACACGGCTCCTTCCCTTCGTATCCTCCTCCTAGAAAATAAGCTCCCTGAAAGCCGGAGATCCACCTGGTCCCCCGCGACATCCCCAGCGCTTGGCAAGGTGCCGGCTTACACTAAGCGCTCAGCAAAAGTGAACCCAATGAATGAAGCCGCGGAGCGCGGTCGCAGCGGGGATCATGGGCAGGGGTCCCAGGCGCGTCCTCATTGCCCGGGACAGTAGTGCCGAGGCTCGCGCTGCCAGGAGACCCGGACTCTGCTGGGCCCCCACCCCCTTTCGGAAGACGCTCGCCGGGCCCTGGAGCCGCAGGTGCCTCCCGGGAGCGCGCACGCCCCGGGTCAGCGCCGCGGCGCGGCGCACTGGCACTCACCATGGTGACACGGCCGCCACCGCCCCTGTCCCGAAAGCACCGAGCGCGAAGGACCCGAGGGCCGGAGCCGAGCGCAGGAGCCCGCGCGGCTGACAGGTGAGGCGCCCTCCTCAGACCATGGCTGCTTCCCACAATGCCCTTGAACAGAAAGTTTGCAGACTCCTCCCCGCGCGGCCGCCCTCCTCCCCTCCCGCTCCTCCCATTCTTCTTCCTCGTCGTCTCCTCCCCCATCCCTTTCTCCTCTTCCTCTTCCCCTTCCTTCTCTTCGTGCTCCTCCTTTTTCTCTCCTTCCTTTCTGCCTCCCCCTCCTCTCCACTTTCCCTTTCTCTTGCCCCGCCCCCGTCACAACTTTCCCCGCCCCGCGCCGCGCCGACCGCCGCAGGTGCACATGCACCTGCGCGCGCGCCAGTTACCGCCGGGAGTCCTCAGCCCCGGGACGCCAGGGCCGCGAGAGCCCATAATCCCACCTGTAGCTCTCTGTGCCAGGAGCTCGAGGCTGGGGGATCTGCTTTCTTGACTGCCGGGCAAAAGTGCCCTAGGTTCACTGGGCAGGTGTTTATCAAACCCGGCAAAACTGTTTTCGGATACACCTGCGGAAGGTGTGCGAGATCGTCTTGTTCCACAACGTGTAGGAAGGGAACGGTTGGCAGATCCAGGAGCAGTAGCGATTGTTACCCCCCACCCCGTTCCCATGTTATTTTTTAGCATAAACTTGCAATCCAAGAACTTGTTCCTTGGAACAAGACCATTTCAAGCAGGTCCCCTTTAAAAAGTTCTCTGTTGTGGTGTTGAAGTTGGGTTTTCTAATTTCTTTCCACTTCTTTATTTTTCTTAACTCTAGGGTTTTTATCTGGGACCTCAGAATCTCCTCGCCCATGTGTTGTAAGCAGAGCTAAGGGTGCGTATTTATGTTCTTTGGGGGAAAGAGAGTAGTGTGTGTGTGTGTGTGTGTGTGTGTGTGTGTGTGTGTGTGTGTTTTACTCAAATTCCTAAAGAAATATGCGACCCTAAAAAGGTTAAGAACCATGTGTGATCTCTGGATCTCCAAACCTGTGGAAGCCCTTCTCAGTTATCTATCAAGTACTTTCCACAGATGTGGACCCGGCTCAGGTGGCCTGGAGGCAAGGGAGAGGTCCTTCTGCTTACGTGAGGTGCATTAGTGAGATGCCCTGTATTCACGTGCATGTACTGGGTGCAGGTGGCAGGCCTAGGAGGAGCACCCGGGGGATTCAGCTGGGAGCGCACAGCAGATAGTACTCCTCCTGGAGCTTGGTCTCTTGTGGGACAACACATAATAAATACGTGAATAAGTAAAATGAGTGTTAAGATATTGTTGCTGGGCTAGGCACAAGGAAGTCTCAGTAATTTAGCTGGGCAGTTGGGGAAGGCAAAGGCTGCCCACTTGAGGAGGTGATACAAGACCAGGACACAGAAGCCAGTTCTCTGAGGAAGAAGAAAACGACAAAAACAAAACAACAACAAAAAAAAAACACGGGGCTGTCCTTCTCGGGGTGGGGGGGTAGGGGATACTCAAAGAAATCCTTTGTGGCCAGAGTTAATGTTTAGAAGATGTGATTAGTGGACAGCAGCCTTGAGCAATGGATTTGTTAAACACACCCAGGAGAGAAACAGGCCCCCCAAAGAGCCTACTCCAGATGCCTGATTGGCATTTTCTGTACACTCTGACAACCCTTTTCTGCCTGGGGTGGTGGCACCTGTAAGGGCATTGGAAGAGGATTGTTTAACAGCAATTAAATCTCAGGCTATGGGATGGTTTTACCTGGTAAAAGAGTAGGAAACGTCTTCTCAGAGGTACTTTCCAATTCCTCATGCTCCCCAGGGTGCAGCCTTCCCTGCCTCAGGCCTTTACCTAGCTAGTCTAACTTCTGTGCCTCTCTGCTTTCCCTGACCTTCAGCACAGGGCCCAGCTCTGCCACTCACCTTGAAGAGCCTATGAAAAACATCAGAGCCTTCTTTTTGCTCATGGGAAAGAGATGGGATTATAAAAGATGAGTTTTAAAGCTGAAGAGAGCTCAGTGTTTTTGCCATGACTGTTCAGCCAAAACTTAAACCAACCAGGCATGGTAGCACACACTGTAATCCCAGCATCCCAGCGATTTGGGAAGCTGAAGCAGGAGGATCGCAAGTTCAAAGTCAGTCTCAGCAACTTAGTGAGACCCTGTGTTCAAAATGAAAAAAAAAAAAAAAAAAAAAGGCTGGGCATGTGGCTCATTGATTAAGAGTCCTGGGTTCAACAATCCCTGGTACCAAAAAAAACAAACAAAACCCACATTTAAAGCAGGAGAAGTTTCTTTACCATTTGGCCCAAGTTGGAGAGGGTGAGATTAGAGAAGGAGCTATTAGCATCCTTTGTCTTCCCTCTTGACCTTGCTAAAATGGGTAGAAGACACTCCCCTGGTTTAGCATTCTTCCCTCCACATTCTCACACCACACCCAAAGCCATCCTAAGAGAGAGACCTACAGTGGGCTGGACACTTCACATAACTTAAGTTATCTTATCTGCCATCAAGAAAAGCCCTAAGAGGTACTGTACTCCTTGTACAGATGACAGCCTGAGGCTCAGAGGTGGAGAGGCCAGAGCCAGCTCAGACAGCTGACAAGAGGCAGAGATAGGCCTGAAATCAAAGGACTTCTACCCAAGCTGGTTCCCCCAGGAGCCCACCCCGTTAGACCCACTCAGGACACAGCAGGGGGAGTGAAGTAGTGTGTATTTGGATGCCTGCATTCTCAGCAGAATTACTTGCGTATTTTAGTTTGCCTTCCCTATCCCATCTTCTCTCCTTTTGGAGCTCCTGCCTCCATGTCAGGTCCACTAACATGCAGACCAACCTCAGGGATGGCCCAAAGGCCCCGTAGCTCAGGATGTTCCAGTGCAGAGAGGCGCTCCCTGCCAGATCCCTAAGGAGCTTTGAGATTCAGAACCTGTTGGACTACCAGAAGCCAGTACACATCATGGTGTGTCTCAGCCGCTGTTGTTTCTGAGCAGGGTCCTGCGATTAGGTGGGTATGATGTACTCACAGTGCAGTGCCCTGGCATTTGGTCAGCTTCATTTAGGAGTTTCCCTGCTCAGATCATTCCATAAACACACGTTAACAGAAGGTACAGAGACAAGGTAGCAAAGACCACCCCTGAGTCCACAGTAGAGGAGAATAGCAAATTTCAGACATGGTAATAAAGGAAAAGGCTAATAGTGTTCTAACCAAAATACTAACTCTTTAGAAACAGAGGGAGATCAAACTATTAGTTTAAAACAATAAAAGACAAAGAAAGACCATTTTGAAAGTCAGCTTCATGGCAACACGCATATTTGATTGACACCTGCTCTGCTCTTCTTCAGGACCCTCCTGTTAATGTCTCAAGTCATGACATCTCCAGGAATGCCTTCTGATGTGACCAGGAATTCACTGGTCACGGTGAAACCTGTAGCAGGAGGCCTGTTCTTTAGAAACTCCTTTACCTTTCAAAACGGGGCATTTTTATTCCAGATGGAAGGACCCTACCCAATATATTTCTAGAGATTATTTCAAAGAATTTTTCAACTAAAAAAATAATATAGGTCCATTGTGGATCTGGAAAATACAGAAAAAACATCAGTTTAAACCTCACTCTTAACTTTACAGTCTAAATATAACCATTATTGTATTTGGTATATTTCCTTTTGGATTCATGTTCTTGAGAGAGAGAAGAGAGAAAGATTTCATTTAAAAAAAATGGAATTTGAATAGATTTAAATGTGTCTCCTCCCAAATTTATGTTGAAACTTAACCCCCTTTTGGGAGTTTTCAGAGGTGGTGTCTTTGAGGATGTAATTCATACATGAGGGTTCTGTTCTCTGGATGAATTAGTGCCTTGTAAAAAGGCTAGAGGGGGCTGGGGCTGTAGCTCAGTGGTAAAGCGCATGCCTAGCGTGTGTGAAGCACTGGGTTCAATCCTTAGCACCACATGAAAATAAATAAAGATATTGTATGTCCATCTACAACTAAAAAAAAAATTTTAAAGTAAATAAATTAAAAATAAAAGGGCTAGAGGGAACCAGTTTAGTCCTGTCTGCTATTTGAGGTCACAATGTCTGTTCCCTCCAGAGACAGTCAAAGCCCCACCTTGGAACAAAGGATGGGCTTTTCCCAGCCACCAAAATTCCTGGTGCCATGATCAATGCTGGACTTCCAGCTTCCAGAACTATAAGAAATAAACTTCCCTTCTTTATAAAGTACCTGATCTCAGGTAGTTTGTTATAGCCGCACAAATAGACTGAGACCGCTACCATATGAAATGTTTTGCATCCAAGTGTTTTATTTATTTTTTTAGTAACATAGTTATCAAACAGATATTTATTGCATCCACTCTATGCTGAGATCCATTCTGGGCATTGCCATAGAACAGTAAAGAAAGGAGATATAGTGCCTCTCAAAGTGGGTGTCAGTGTTATGAGGAAGACAAATTTTAAACAAATAATAATATACAAAAATGTGTAATGATCACAAATGCTAAAAAGGAAAAGATCAGATGCTGTGCAAACATATAATAAATCATTCCTAGCAGACATTTGTCATTTGCTTCTTCAAGGTCCCTTTCCCCAGTTTCCTGTAACTCTTGGCTTGGAGTTCAGGACCTAATCCACACATGAACTTATACATTTCCGGGTGGCACATGACTCAGTGTTGGCCAATCAATATTTTGCTTTCCAATAACAAGAATGATGGGTTCTAAAATAGGTGTATGCCCAGAGTCAACTCAAACCAGGAAGAACAAATCTGGGGATATTTTTAGAACTGTCTTGGAGAAGTACCTCCATTCTTCCTAGTAGGTTTGAATGTGAATAAAGAAACTGGAGCTTCTTCAGGTGTTTTAGCACCATGGAGGATGAACTTTTCTCTGGAGCCAACATCAAGGATACTGGGCCTTGGGCAGAGAAATAAACAAGTCCTTCACAATAAGTCTTGAGGCCTGCATCATGCCTGAAGCTGACACTGAACTTTTTTTGGTTACCTGAAGCAGTTTGGCTTGTCCCTTGTGACCAACATGATTCTGGACATAAGTCAGGGAAGGTTTTC